ATGATCAACTCTGTATCGATGGAGACATAAAACATTTTCGATTTCAGTTACTTTTACTGACTTCTTTTTTTGTTTGTCCTTTCCAGATTCGCAGAGCTTTCCTCGGCCACATGGTGGGAGATAATTGGCCCCCTCCCAAATGATCAACTCTGTATCGATGGAGACATAAAACATTTTCGATTTCAGTTACTTTTACTGACTTCTTTTTTTGTTTGTCCTTTCCAGATTCGCAGAGCTTTCCTCGGCCACATGGTGGGAGATAATTGGCCCCCTCCTAAATGATCAACTCTGTATCGATGGAGACATAAAACATTTTCGATTTCAGATACCTTTACAGACTTCTTTCTTTTTTTTTCGTCTCCAGATTCGCAGAGCTTTCCTCAGCCACATGGTGGGAGATGATTGGGCGCGGTACGTCGTGGCTATGGTCATCGCCGCGTGTGCTCTCTGTTTCCTGTCGGGTTACTTTGTCCGAGACATGGCCTTGTGCGCTGCTGTTACCATTGCAACCTTGACCCTTGTGATTGACTGTGATTTCACTTACTGGTCACTGAAGGGAGTTCAATTCTGGAACCAGGGGCGAATGGTGGCAGACAATCTTTGCATATGTACAGGACTTTTATACGCTTTTTTTCACGTAGATAATAGGGTGAAAATGGATTAGAGAGACGATTTTTTCTTCCACTGTGATTTTGTATGCCTTGTGGATGATTATAAATATATTTCTGTCAGTATGTGATTCAGATTTTTTTTCAATGTCAGGTGCTTAAACAGTGGTCCCTCTCGGATGCAGTAAAGACTCGCTCCTTGAGAATTACTTTAGTTTGTGTGAATGGGATAGATCCACACAGCGATTTTTTTAGTGATTCAACCTTATTATAGATTCTGCCACCACTTTAAAATTTACAGTATGTGCAGTTTTTACAATTTTACAGGAGAGTAAAAAAACTGAATGTTATTACCAAGAGAACAACATTTGCTTTAACAATAATAAGGAAGTTATTATCAAAATTGTATTCTTAAAAATATTGACCTAGGATGTTTGCAAAGAGTTTGTTTTCTCAGTAACAACGTTCAGTTGTTTTGGCTCTCCTGTAATATTGTAAAAACTGTTTCTACTTTATTTTTTAAAAAGGCGGCAGCATCGCCAGGATCGAGTCGGGTCAACTAATGGTGGCTTCAGTGCACACTACGAATAGACCCCTTCCTTGTTTGATAAAATTTAACATGGAAGTGAACTCAGAGAAAACTTTGACCCCTGGTGACCTAGAAACTTGGTGCTTTTCAGAGATCACATCTGTCGCCACGTGACGTTCTTGAAGACATCGTTACAACATTTAGAGCGCTACTATTTTTAAAAAAATACTGGCTTCAAGTGCCAACCAATGCAAATCACAAATGCCGTGTTGAGAGGTTGTTTAATCCTATAGACACTGGAAAGTTCGATAGCTTCTCCAAATTAACACAGTCCATTATCATATTCTGTGTGTAAACAAAAGATCTAACCCTGACCTTACAAAAACATGTGACTCATAGGCTGCTAGCCTTGTAGTTAGCTGTTTTCTCTCGAAAGCTCAGACACATCAGATTCATAGCCAAGACGAACAAACGTGTTGGATTTTGCAAGATTTGATTGAACTGCGCCAAAATGGTAGTTTTTGCCTTTCCATGAATAAAGGAAAATCTGTCCTGCCCCAACTGTATCAAATATGCACCGGATACCACCTTGTTAACAACTTTTCTACTTGAACTTTAAACCTTTTTTTTTTCTCTTTAGACATCAGTGTGTTATTTTCTCAAACTCCATGACTGTCTCTTGAACCAGCATTCGTGATTAAGTACAATTGATCACTGACAGATGCATGGGTCTGAATGATTGCTCAGTCCGTAGAACCCTCGGTCAAGTATCATATCAGGGGCTTTATGGGACTACAAAAGTTATAATTTTTTTTTTAATGAATTTGTATCTGTGTATATCAGAGAGCTACAGTGGAGTAGGTAAGGTGAAGTACAAATGTTTGTGAGGATTGCTGACAAAATGTGTTACTTCTCGGATTTCAGCCTTATGGAAATTGGTACATCAACTTGATTGGTGAAGTTTGTACAATTTGTGAGCATGGAATAGTAAAAAACACAGTAAACTTGAACGAAATGGCATCAATTGAAGATCTATAAATCTGACCCCAGTGTCGATTTTCAGCCAATATCTCCTTTCTTGGATCGTGAGAAGTAACTCATTTTGTCAGCACATCTCACATTTGTGTTATATCACTGCTGTGGAAAGAAAAATGTGGTTCTCTGAATTTTTATTGGGCTCACCCTGTAAGGCTGTTTATTGTAATTTGTTTTTACAATATGTGTGTGTGTGCCTGGAGAAAGATCCCAGTTGTCGGAAATTTTGGATATTGAAATAAGGGCATGTTCTTGTAGCAAATTCAATGCTGAACATGCTGATTTTTAGATTTGTCAAATATCTTGAACCCCCCAGGGCGGAGCCACTGACTGAAGTGTCTTTAGGCCATTCCCAAAGGGGAGACATTTCTCGTTCTAATGCACAGTAGAATTGTAAATGGGCTGATCCAACAATGTCATGCTCATAATTGTGCCTGAACAACAACTGGGAACTGCTGCTTTTTCTTTCCTAATCCTTACTATCGTCATTTTCCTCTACTTTTTTTGTATGTTTGTCACGCTCTTGTGACCCGCCATTTCCGGGGTGCCTTGATAGTGGAAGCAGACTCTGTGCTGTTGAAGCTAGAGAGGTGAACAGAGTAAGTGATTCCCTGTAAGGACTTCTCTGTTGACATCCACCCCTTGGCGTTCATATGACCTAATGCAGTTGCGAGCACCGTAAAACCTCTACTAAAACAAACAAGTATCTTGAGAAGTTTTGAAGATCATGCTACATTTTAAGACACAGGGTGTAAAAACAAATAGTTTGGAGGAAACCCCAATTTCTAGCCCATTTTTAGCCTCTGTTGAAGAACTACATGTTGCTGAAATAATTTTTTAAAAGAATATTTAGACTCAAAATATTATAAATCCTTTCAATGTGTTAGTAAGAAATGGTTTAACATCTGCTTTCTGTTTGAACTTAATTTTTGACCAAGTACAAATTTTTTTACCTTTTCACCTTGTTGCTCAAAAATAGTTTTGTGGACAACAAGGACCTTTACTTTATCCATGCACACTCATACATATACACATATATTCACTGTGTTTGCAGATTTGAAAGTTACTTGCCAAGTCTATGTCTGCTCTGTCATTCTGAAACCCGAGTATGTGTGTGTGTTTAGCATTCTTGTGTTCTGCCAAACAGTTCTGGGTCTTTACTCTCTACGGTTTATGCACAAAAGTTTCAGTTTCGCTCACGACTTCTTGGTTATGAGTGAAAGCTAGTTTTCCAATTGAATTTATATTTTTCTACAGGATTTCCTTGGGGTTTGTTGTAGTAGTATTCGAGTTTTTTTATAGAGAGAGTTTCACTAGATTTCTGTTTCTTGGGTTTTGTAATGTACTTTTTGTCTGCTTTCCAACCCAAAGTCTGTTTGTTGGGGATCCCTGAAGATGTTGCCTTTCATTTTATATGGATCTTTTTGTAAAAAATATATGTGCAATAATAATTTCAACCCTGTGAGTGTCTACGGTTGATTAAATTTGCCATAACTTTCTTTCTACTGTTGTGACTGATTTAATCAGCCATCATTTAAATTATTATTCCAGCTCATTTTTTATATCACCACACATTTTCATTCCTTCACAGATTAACTTTATTTCCTATCTATGCTACTCTACTTTCTGAAAATGTTCCTTTACTTGCTTGGTTTACCTATTCTAAATCATTTTCCGGCAGCATATGGTGAAATCTATATATATTGATTTCCCCTGACACCACAAGCTATTTGTTAGCGTTAGGGACACTTGGAGGGTTGGTCAGTTTTCTGCTGATGGGATGAATTATTCTTTTATTGGCTGCTGAGACTGCTTTGAAGGCGAGCTCATGTGTGTGCAAGTTGAAAAAGCTGTGCTGAACTAATGTGGTGTTCAATTTTGCAGTTATCAAAGCTGTCAAATTCGAAACGAAATCTATTATTTGAAAACTTCCAAGAGGAAAAAGAGGCAAAGCCACATTTGGGTGATTTTGAGGAGTCTTAGTGTTTAAAGTTAAAAGCCTCATATCTTCCGAAAGATGTACAATTTTCAGCTTTTATTTTTGTATGGGCCTTGTTGTATTCCTACATTTAAAAAGTAAGATTTTTTTGTTATGTTAACCTGTAGGGTTGTGAAGCCTCCCCGCCCCCTCCCAATTTGAGAATAACTCAGAATAATTTCAAAATGTGACCCCTGCTGGTTTTTTCCTCCTGTAGTCTTCATTCTTTTTATTCTTCTTACTTACTCTTACACTTACACGCCTCTGACCCAACCTGATCCCGACTTACATTATTCCCTCTACATTACTAGTTGAAATGGAATTTGGGTGTGAATGCTTCCACATTTGGTCGCTTTTAAGCACAAGGGTGCTATCCTGAAAAAAGCTGTATTGAGAAAATCGAAGGTAAAGTTTTTGCCTCTTGACTCTTGTTCAGTTTCTTTCAAAGACAAGGAAAGTTTTCTCTATAACCAAACACGTATACACACCAATAAAACCAAACTTCTCCTATAGGTAGGGCAATGCCCACTTTTGGTGTATGTCAAGATTTCTGGAAACCCCCGAAATCTGAGTTAGCCCGCTTGTCCTTAAAGGCGACCATTTATGTTCAGCAGGCCGCCATTGGTGTGGGGTTTTTTTCAATTGCTCCCAAATGCATGTTGTAGCTTAAACTCCTGTGTATGCATGTTTAGCCATTCGAATGACAGTTAAACGGTGCTATCGAGACAGTTTGACCCTTTAATTAAGAAGAGCCATGACAGGAATTGTCTTTGCTGCGTTGATTGAGTTTATGGTTAAAAGGACGGACGGTTTATAAAATTATGGAGAAAATGTTTTACAACTGTTCTATTTTTTGGACGGGGTCTGGGTGGAGATGTCATAGTGAACCAAACAGTTAATAATGTGAGGCACTAGCTCTGTAGGTTTGCATTCTATGTTTATTTATCTTCATTTTGTAAAGATTTACTGTTGATTCTATATTTTCATTTTGTGCAATTTTGAAGGTTCGATTAAAATATGTTGTGTGTCTTCATTTTGCATCTGATAACTGTAACTTGTTTTTTTTGTGTGTGTTTTCATGACCTGTCGATGTTCCTTTTTTTTAAAATTGTTTTTTATTATTAGATTTTTCTACACCCCAATCAACACAATTCAGATCATTTAGGAGGTAAGCTTCCAGCTCTGCCTATCAGTGTCAGGGTCAACTCGGACTGAGAGGGGTTCAACATCCCAGCCAAAATATTGATATATACTCGATAGAAATTTGCTCCCCACTCAGGAATCGAACCTTGGTCTCCTGCATGTTGCAGCAAAGCGCCTAACCACTACACTGCAGATGCCGGTCTCAGAAATGTGCAATAACATACAAATTTGTATATATGTGTGAAAGAGATAGTTTTCTGTGTCATCTTTTGAATAATGTGGGAACTCAAAAACTCTAAAGAAAAGAAAGTGTTCTGATGCATACATTTTGTGTGCATGTATCTACTCATACTGAGGATTTCCACCTGTTTCTGTAATTATTCCAGAATGTTAAACTATTAGAATAAATTTTAAAAATAAAATTGTCCTAAAGTTG